ATGCACCGTGTCTATGTTTGTTTTACGTTTTTATGACGGCTAGATGAATATTATCAGTCTCAACAATTATGTTACTTGCAAAATGGATCTAAATTTCTTTTATAGCGATTTTTTTGAAAAATTCTTGACAATCATAACATTATTTATTGAATGAATGTTGTAGTAGCATTTGCTACAGGTTGAAACCAACTGCTGAGTCCTTCTGGTTGTCGTCTCTCTTTAGATTTAAATTTGTGCAAAGGTTACAGAATAATTTCGATAAAAGTCGCAAGTCGCTTCGTGAGTCGGACGGAAGCAAAATGAAATTGGACTCTAATCGCAAGTCAGCTTTGTTTCGAACCGCTTTCGATGAAATGATTGGAGAATTAGAATCAAACCTTCGACCTCTGTTGCCTGACTTCATTTGGGCAGACATTTCATCCAAGTACTTCCATTATTTTTTTAATCATACTCTTTTTATAAAATTAATGTTCGTAAAATAACATATTGGAACGAAACAAATATAACAGGAGTATATGAAGGTGTCAGTTAATTGATGAATAATGTTAAAATTCAGTGTGATATGCTTCATTGCATATCCCAGAGTTCTTGAAGGAATTTTTTTTTATTGAACTTGAAAGAGTATTAATGAAGAAATTAAATCCTTGAGGTTACTTATTAATGTTTCTTACAAGTGAAAAGAACTGGATTTCCAGGATATTTACAATATTTTGGGTTCTATCCATGTATGATATTTCTGTCCCGAAAAGCACCTACGAACGAGAATTGCAGCGTGTTCGCAGATCCTTGTCTCTTGTTGCTGAAAATGCTGAGATTGTAAGGAATTAAAATTTGATGATGATCCAACCAACTTTATTGTTACATGAGGACATTTAGTAAATAGTAGTTTGTATTAGTTTGCTATTAATATGAGATCCAATTAGTAGTTTGCTATTAACATTAGATCCAGTTATTTATTTTAAGTCGAGGAAATGAATTCAATTAATTTTTTCCTGTAATTTCGTATTTGAGTTTGCTTAGACGTGTTCCTTTGTCAAGTTTTAAAGTTATTTCCAAGATTGAATCGTAATCAATGTTTTATACATTTAGAGTAAAACAAAAAGAGCAAAAGAAGAAGAACAATTGCGTAACGTGGAAAAGAAACTAACCGATGAATTAAAAAAACAGAATGATCATGTGGAACGCATCTTAAATATTTTGAGACATGACAAGGAGTTATTGTTTGCTGATTGTAGCCCAAGTAAGTGGCTAGTGTTCTGTTCCGTTAAACTGATTTTTATTTGCCTGTGAAATCTGACTTGATTGTTTTATTGCGATATAGAATTAGAGTGTAATTTCAAGGCATAACTAGAAGCATTGATTCCCGAAGAATGATGTACGGTAGGCCTAATAGATTCACAGGTTTTTCAGATTGCTTTGGAGGAAAAGCCTGATCATGTATAATTGCATCACATTGAAGATATATAACATACTAGTGATATAGACCAGTATATTCTAATTGAAGTTTGAAACTTCCAAGCTTTTAATCTTTAAATTCTAGAGCTTCGCGGTACACAAATGGCACGCTTTTTACAGCACTGTATTTTACCGCGTGCGGTCTTTACTGATATGGATGCTGCATTCTGCGCTCACTTCATTCTTTTACTTCATCAGCAACGAACTGGTTTCTTCCAGACTGTCTTTTTCTTTGATAAGGTTTTATCTTTTTCTTTGATAAAGATACAAATACATGCGTGCATTTAATTGAATTCCATTGTTTAGAATTTCTTGCTTCCTGTAGTTTCATATATTTTTAGTTATTCAACGACATTGGTGCTATATTGGCTACGCTAACCGAGAATGAAGCGAATTGTTTCGGACGATTTCTAGCACTTGTGCTTGAAACTGTGCAACATTGGCATGGTGACAAGACGGTTTTCGATAAGGTGTGTTCATTGAATGAAAAATAAAAGAGTAAAGAGAATGCTGCATCCTTTGAACTACGGATGAAGTAGATCAGGAATTTTTAAGAAATACAATCTTAGGAATGTTATCGCTTCCCCGGCTTCATGACTAAATTGCACGTGAGAAACCCAGAAGCGACGAATACCGAAAGTGTTAGTGATGGGATGAATTACGAATCGTACAGGTATTGTTCATTGGTTTTAGTAAGGTCTGTTTTACGTATGAGGTTGAATAAAAATCATATTTCATTGCAGTTGTTAAAATTTAGGGTTCTTAAATTGCTGTTTTTAGAACTCTCTGTCACAAATGGCAGTACAGGATGACTCGGTCATGTCTCGGGATTTTGGACAGTTCAAACTATGTAATGATGAGGAATTGTTTAATTGTCATGATTAAGGTGAGAAGATTCTCCTTAGTTACCTGTCACACTTTCTGGGTGAGCAGTCTTGAAGACAGTAGTTTTTTGTAGTTTATCCTGATTCACCAAATTTTTACTTGACGAACACTTATGAATCTTTTAGATGTTAGCATATTTCCCGTTAATTGAAAACCATATTGCAAATATTGAGAAGACTGTAAACAAAGTGCATGATATGGAAAAAGGTCGCAGAGATGATCTCTCTCTGATGGCTGCCTCCTACGCAGGTCATTTACGAATGCGCAAAGCACATACATATACCGAATCACAGTTCCATAATGTTATCGTTTTTATTCTTTTTTTTTTTCTTTTTTCAATCTCTAAATTAAACGTTCCAAGAACTTGGTTTAGAACATAAAACTCGAAAAATATTTTGTTATTCATTAACAATTAATTTATTGGATAAATATAAATTCGTCTGCTCAAGTTTAGATAAAGTTGTAACTATCAGTTTCTAACAAATGTTTCATTAAACTTTATTTACACAATCCTGTTTTCACTTAAGTATGGCATCATATGATCATGATGCTTTGTTTGCAAAAAAAAATAGATACTAGAATCTAAGGTTTTTTATGAATCAGTATTTTTTGAAGGATTTTTTTGTTCATGTTGTCATCTTTATAAATATGTCAGTTTTGCAGCGGCTAACTGATGTAACAAAGAAGACTACACGTGTAGGTGCAACACGAAGTGCAAATGCAAATACAAATGTAAAAGCTGCAGCAAAAAGTTCAACGATGGAAATTACTGAGTTAAGCAAACAGAAAAATCTGGCAGAGGGAAATGCTGCTGAACTTCGAAAACCAACAAACGGAGCAGCAGAACTGCGTAAAACTCTAGTTACAGTAGATGAAAAACGAAAACCTTTGGAGCCGCTGCCTGCTGAACTCATAGCGAAAAAAAAACTAAGTAATTGCTGATTTATTGTAGTTCTTTTACCGTTATTTTTTGCATTTTTTCATTTGCATTTGTACTATATATAAAAGCTTCAAATTATTTCAGAAGTTTCCGATGGAGAGGATCGGCCGCAAATTCAAGCCCAGAGGGGTAATGAAGAATCGCAATTACGTCGTAACGAAATTAGAAAAGAAGGACACCGGGAAAAAGAAGAGTTAAAAATGGAAGAAGGTGAAGTGGGTTCACCACCACCAAATTCCGAAGCTCTTCTATCTCACAAAAAAGTGAGTACTACTGTAACTTCTAAGGAGTACTACTGTAACTTCTAAGGATTCTGTTATAATTCTCCTAGTGGTTTTGATTTTTTTTCTTTGCATAAAGTGCTCAGGTAACGTTCAGGCTGATTATCATAAAATTATTTGTCAAAACGAAGTAATGATAATTATCTAATTCTTTGTGTATTTCGTTTCTTCTTTATCCAATCTTCACAACTAATATATTGCTTGATTAAATGATTTACTTGTCTTCCTTGTTTCTCATTGCTTTGTTCCTTTTACCAGCACTTATTAATTTGAATCTTTCTTCAGTCAATTTTTTTTTTCTTTTATTTTTCTTTTTTTTTTTGCAGACCAGAAGTAATAAAGGAGTGGAAGACGAAGCACCGAGAAGGGAGAAAGAGAGAATGAGAACAGAAGACAAAAGGGAACGTAAACGGGAGTCTATTACATCAACACTGGTATTTCTTGTTTTAACTTATATGATTATTAATTGCAGATATGAATACGATTAATAATTCTCATGCTTTATAGACCCGTGGAAAAGTAAAGACTCCAGACGATCATCTAAAAACGCGAGAGAGAACATGGAAGCGACCTGCGGAACTGACTGACAGGTAGGTGTTTCGTCGACAACTTTAAATTTTAAAAGTAAATGTTTCACATTTAATGGAAATTATTTTCAGTGACGTAAATGTAAAAATAGCACGGAATGAGGGTAGCAGTGGCTCGGATAGAAGCGCGGAATCGAAAGGTATGGCATTAATTCTATTTATGAGTTCCATTTACATATGGTAGTACACCTTTTTCGCGTTGCTGGTTGATTGAAAATGTGTCCTCAAGAACAGTTATGGGAGATATTTGTATACGAAAAAGAAATTAGCAATTTAATATTCTTTTTTTCATGTAATTTCATTTAATTTCCAGGCACGAAGTCCTCTGAAGCATCACCATCCACTCGTACAACGCGACACAGACGTGATCCACATCGGACGTAAGTCGTTCAAGTGTGTGGGTTCAGTTATTGTATTTTTGCTTCATGACTAGAACATTATGTCTAACTTTTACACGAGCTTATTTTGCAATAGTTTAAACCACTATTTTTAGAACAGCGGCAAGCCATGATCGTTCGAGATAGTACAACAGATCAATTCTAGTGATTCATTAACATTGTTTTGCACTGATTTGATTTAAATTTGTTCAGTTGTCACAACGAAGAATGAAATATTAGTTGATTCTGTTGGGTAAGATGAGAGCTTAACCGCTACTAATTTATCATAGTTTGGTGCTGAGGTGTCTAAATCATGTGTTACAGTAGAAATCACAGTGTTCACACATCGTATGTCAACCCCTTCAAGTGTATGACAGGCCAATTTTTACTGTTAATGTTATTGTTTACAGTGATAATACTTCGCTGTATGATTTATTAATCTCAAATTCCTGTATAAAGTTTTTATGTACAATTCTTAAATCAAAGGCAGGTCATGAATTTGTTTGAAAACACTCACCAGAATACAAAGGATAGCAGTTAGACAAAATTTGCTGGACATTTGTATACCATTTTTGGCTCTTTCCCACTCTTCCCTACTTCCTTTCACTTTTAATTTCCCGCAGAGAATCACTTCACCGGTACTTGTCTCCGCTACAGTAACTGTTTTATTGAGAACTGAATCGTTGAGTATGTCAAATTCAATTTCGGTCCATGGCTTTAATTCAATTAAATTTTTGAAAATATTTCAATGAAATTTTGAAAATGATGGAAAGGAAATAGTCATTGAACTTGTTAAGTTCAGATTCTTCACTCATGATTCTTTTTAACTTTAATTTGAACTAGATATATCTATAATCCCATCAGTTTAGGAATCTTTTCAAAACATCAACTAAGAAATTACCTGAACAGCCATTCCTGCACCATCAGAATCCAAAGTTAGCAGTTTCTTTCCATTTTTTCTCTCATCCGTAGTCATTTTAAAGCAGTCCTTGATTTCTTCGTTGTAGTAAGTGATGTCAAAATCCTGAAGAAAAATATTTTAGATTAGTAAGAAACAGTCCAAATGTTGAACAATCTCCATTATCTTTTACATATATAAAAATATATATTTAGTATGATCAAAAGCAAAGTACAAAATTAGAAGTGAAACCTTTTTCTCATGAACACCATCCAGAATTATAAGTGCAAACGAGTTAGAACCTTGAATTTGTGTTAGTTTAATCATGCCATTTCCACCTCGGAAACCTCTCAACATTCCTTCAACAACGCCACCTGCAACTTCTTATCATCATTACCGACTCTTTTCAAACGTTTCCTCTTTTCTTTTTGGAGACATAATAATAGTCTATCTCATTTATGTATCTTTAAAATAAAACTTGCATTATTGCAATCTGGGTATATCTAGAATGTAATTTTAAAAATTATAAGTTAGATTAACCTTGTACTGGAAGTTTGGCACATAAATTCTCATAGAAATTCACAGGTATGTGAGATGGTTTTTGTTCTATACGAACAGCTTTTTGTCCATCAAGTGCAGTGAGTACACAGTCCTGAAAATTTTTTTTTAATTTAATCTTCACATACCCATAAATTTATTAATTAAGAAATCAAATTAACTCCTTGAATCATCGAATTTTTTTTTTTTTTTGAAAATAAATGCATTTCAATATTCAATCAAATATGAATGTTATGTTTAGATTTTAAAACTGAAAAGTAATCTGAAAATAGATCGTTTATTTGATTCACCGAGTATTATCAAAATAATCATTAATCAATTTTTGCTTGAATAATCAAATGTAAATTTTATCTTAATTATTAGAATAAATACTAAAATTTCTTCTCTCATTTCATCTCATCTTTTCTTAATTTCTTTATTCTCTTTTCGTTCACATTTTAAATTGATCGATTTAAGGCAGAAAACATTTTACTTCATCTTTTGGCATATGCATCAATGAACGACACATGAATCCACCGGAAAGTAATGATCGAAGACATGATCTAAGACAATCATCCTTAAATTCCACACTTTCCGTACTTTCAATATCATTTGCGCTCAGTTCCAATCGATAACCTTTCTTGTAAACAAAACATGAATTCAGATCTGTATGATCTGCGACAACACCGCTCACTAAAAATTGAGTATGATAAATTGCAAGATTGAAAAGAAAAAAAAAGTCAATAAAAATTTAATGAATTACTGAAATTCTTTAAAATCTCACAATTTACAGTATTACAAATAGATAATATCTCAAATTCTGGAAGCGATAATGTATCGTTGAAGAAAATATATTAGATTAAAGTAATAATTCTTTCGTTCATTAATTACATTAGTATAATCATTGATTATCATTCAAAATTAGTCTTCAAAAAAGAAAAAAAAACAGATTTCAGTTTAATTTAAAAGCAATTTTTTTTTTTTATAATTTTAACTAAGGTTAAAATTATAAATGAGTAAGTCAGCATTACATTTAAATTTAAAATTTAATGGAATAGTTTCATCAAAAGGATTAATGAAAAAATTTTCATCTACAACATTATCACATAAAATAATTATTATATGATTATTATAATGTTTCATTAATAAAAATTTCAATGATAATTTCAAATATTTAATTATCAGTGCGTATAAAAAAAAGACAAAAAACAATACAATATCATCAAGATAAAAATAAAATTAATGATAAAAGTAATTAAATAAAAAAAAATTTTTTTCTTTCTTTATAAAAAATAACATTAATCTAATAAATTAAGTAGTTTTTGACAAAAAAAAGAATAATAATAATAATAATAATAGTAATAATAATAATAATAATAGTAATAATAATAATAATAATAATAGTAATAATAATAATAATAGTAATAATAATAATAACAATAATAATAATAGTAATAATAATAATAATAATAATAACAATAATAATAATAGTAATAGTAATAATAATAATAATAATAGCAATAGTAATAGTAATAACAATAATAATAATCATAATATATAAGTAATGCTTACATTGCAGTATCGTTGCTACTGTAAATACATTGACGAATAATAACAAACTGATAATCGTTGTCATTTGACAAACTGCGCTTCGTCGTTAGTCCTTTTTGGGTTATCGTTGTTCCTCTCAATTTCACACACATTTAACAATTTCAATTTTTCTCTTCTTCTATTCTGTATATATATATATGTGTGTACATCATATATACATACATCTTCTACAAATTTCTCCAATGAAAATAAAGAGGACATTTTGAAATATCACAGAATGAGATGAATGCATCAATACAATTAACAAAAGCAATGATTGAACAATTTTGGTATGTATGTATCTATCAATCATTATAATATTTTTGTTATTTTAATGATTTATTACAATAATTGTTTATATTTTATTGATTATTTATGTCATTTTAAAATTAATTTGTTGTATTAATGTTACAAATAATAGAATGCATTGTATCAATAATTATTATAGAATGCATTGTATCAGTAATTATTATTACTATCTTATTGACATCATCTGTTTCTAAGGAAGATGAATATTTATAAATTGATAAATGGCTAGAATATTTGAATAATAAATTTGAAAAATCTCTTAGTATTTTATTGATATTATAGATATTACATTAGAAAGATTAAATTATCTAAAAATCAGATATTACATTAGAAAGATTAAATTATCTAAAAATTAATTATGCTTGTGTAGCAATCATAAGCTACCGTTGTATCAGCTACCATTCATTTAACTTTTTTCTTTTTTTTTTTTTTTTTAATATTTCTTTTCTTCACCATTCATTTAGTTTTAAATTTTAAAATTCATTACAACAAGTCTTGTTCTCGCACTTGTAAATCGTGTATTGGAGGAATTTTGGTAAGAAGTGAATTACGAACAAGAGAAGTGATTTAAAAAAAAAAAAAACCAAACCGACTAAAGTTTAATTGAACTTTGCGCTTTACGAATATTCTTCAAATGGTTGAAATAACAAACAAACAAACAAACACAAGCACCAACCCATTCATACAGTTGAGTTCTTTGTTATTTAAACTTTTCGATAGCATATTACCAATAGAGTAACGAGGATTACGAGAATGTTGAGCTATGATACTAATATAAAAAAATTCAAAGCTCGGTCGAGAACAAAAATCTCATCTCATATTTATTGAATATTATCAAATAGAATATCAACAAATTTCAAAATGAGGAATGAGAGCAATGAAAATAGCAAATTTACAGAAAATGAATAATGTTGCACTGTACAGAGTTTAAAAATCACAGAACGGAAAGAGCATTTTAAGGTAATTGAATAGAGGACATGACAAAGCAGACTCAGTATGCAAGAAATAAATGTAAAAGTGCTAATCAATTTCAGAAAATCATATGAATAACACATATTTATTCCATTGATGATAATTTTACACATAAAACTTACAAATGAATCAAAATATCTTACTGAGAATATGCTTGCATTCTTGTGTTTTCGATATAATGTAAGCATGAATAAATATGAAAAAAACAGAAATATTCCATAAAGAAGATAACTGATTAACAAACGAAAAGGAAAAGAAATCATCAGTAGTAACGAATTATTGAATACAACTAGAAAAAAAAAAATATGCAAAATGATTTAAAAAAAGAAAAAAGTTTTAAAGGTTGAAAAAAGAAAGATGAGTACTGCTTAAGTGTTATCGAAAAGGATGGTAAAAAAAAAAAAAATGATCCAAGCTGAATCATTGCATAGGAAAGGAATTTTGGAACAGAAATATCTAGTCGAAATTATATTACTCAATAAATTAATAACTTGCGTACACAAAAAGGGAAAATTTTTTAATGGAAGACAGAGAATGGGTACAGATAGAGTAGACAAAACGAACTCTGAAAAAGAAATGAGCAAACGAATGACTACTTCTATTTTTAAAATCAATTTATAATTGACTTCTTAAACCAATCATAAATACTAGTCATTAAAGGAGAAAAAAAAAAAAAAAAACTAACCACAAATACTCAACTACAGAACTTTTATAGCAATACATTCCAGGCCCATAACAACATTCTGTGTAATATATGAAGGACTAGTAAATGAAATATCACATTTTGAGTCAAAAGTTCTTTAGAAAAAATGGAATTTTAGATGAAAGGACTGGAAATCTTTCAATTGTTCATAATAGACTGACGTAATTAGCGGGAAACAGTCCATATTTACCATCTGGAGCTCGACCATGCCACCAACCTTCATCAATTTGATCCACATCCGTAATAATATCATCCGGATTGAATGAAATCTCAGTTTCGTCAGCTAAAAGCCAAAAATTAGTTCACAGTTTATTTATTTATTTATTTAAATTTCAACTTTATAAGTTTACAACTAATGAGATTTGATCATTATATGACAGTATTTGCCAAATTAAAAACGAAAAAAATACATGGGCTGCTGATTCCCCATAACACAAGTTTTTATTTATATTAAGCAAACTTCATCTGCTCAATACTTATCAAAAAATTTAAACTTACCAGCCTGATAATCCCACAGAGCTATAGCACTCCTTCCATGTGACGATTTTGTGTCTTCCATTACTCCGATTACTTCACTTTCAGTTTTCTGCAATGTATCTTCTCGGATGAAATTTTCATCCGTTTGATAAATAACAGAACTTTTTAATCCAACTTCCTGCTCACTCCTCCTTTGCTGTGATTTGTTCTCCAGAACATCATTTTCTTCGATAATATCAGCATTCCCTTCATTAGTTGAAGTGCATCCTGAAGCTTTTTCTGCTGTCTGCTCCCTAATCACTTGTAATGTTTTAGGAGATTCTACAATAAATAGTTGTGATTCATTGGATACCTTCTCGCACAAAGTTCCTTTAACCTGTACTAAATCATTCGCTCGAATTATATCTTTTTCATCTGAAACAAGCAATTTTGAAATCAAACAATAATGAATGTTAATCATTTACTCTTCACTGTAGATATAAAATCACATTTCTGCAGTATTTCTCTCACACACCCTAATGCAATGAAATGTGAAATAACACTTCAAGTTCCAAATTTAAAATGAATAACGATGGCGTTATGAGATCTGAATAATTTGCAAATAAAAATTTCATTATGTTTGCACCTAAATTATCTCAAAAAAATTTTTAGCAACTAAAATATTTGAAATTTTCCTGAACTAAACTAACATATAGTTGAGCTTGAAGTTTCATCGACTTTTTTAGCTTTTTCTTCTGAACAAAGTTGGGCATGTATCCTTTCATTTAGCTCACTTCTTTCACGAAGAGCCATTTCATTCTTTTCCCTTTCTCGTTTCCTTTCTTCCGCAATTCGATCATTCTCCTGAGCCCTTACTTCTTTCCAGAATTTTTCTCGGCTGACTGTATCGATTTCACTGCAAGAAGAAAGACCATGTGAATCACACTGTGTGAACAAAGTTCAAACTATATGGAATAATGTGAGATATTAAGATAGCACTAAAGAGTATGGATAAGAATAGAAGTCACTGTAACAAGTCAGCAAGTAAAATCATAATTTTTTTTTAAAAGAAACCGATAATCAAACTAGTTTATCACTTAAGCAGTAGTACCAAGAAAAACAAAAAGTGGAAATTTTGGTGCCTATTAAAATAGTTTTCTTTTTCTGATAGATCTTTTACACGAAATTTTCATATCAAAATGTTATAAATTTGGAAAAAAGATAATATGCAGGAGAAATGAGGATGGACTTTTTCGGTTTCACAGGTTGATAGGTAGTCCCAACTGCCTTTGGTTGTGTGAACTCCGAAATTTCAGTCAAAGTTGGCACAGTTTCATTCACACCTGGCAATCTGCTAACTACACGCAATATGCTTTCCATATCAACATCTTCTTCGTTTCGAGCAATTAGAATCTAAAGTACTCTCAACAAAACAACGAAGGAGATAATTAAAATGTTGGCAATGAACTAATTTGAGTGCTTCTAAGTATCGCTTAATCTGCTGTAAAAACTATAAGAATCAAAAAAGTAGCTAATCCTCGGCAGTTGCATTCATAAAAAGCTTAAGTAAGGATAATTCATAATAAAATACCACAAATACCTACAGACGTTCGTATCCATTTTCATTTTAAGAACATACCACATGTATGCCACGCAAGAATCGCTTCAATTCACTGCCATGATTAGCGGTTGTAACTAAACGCGACGATGGTACACCTTCGCCCTGCTGAAGCATACTAATGTCTTACATTTTCATCGGTACGCATAAACATTAAAATTAAAAAACTAAATATGCTGAAACTTGGGAATATATTTCACAGAAATTTGCTACCAAACCTCAACTTTTTAAATTTAGAAATCCGTTTTTTTTTTTTTTTTTTTTGACATTATAGAAATTACGGATGAAGCATTCCAGAAGTCAAATTAACCAGATGAAAAATCTTACCCACTGAATAAGGACAATTTTTGCACTTGCTGAAGCACCCCATCTAACAGCTCCGATGCCATACTGCAATCTTCCGGCCGTAAAGCTCGTCGACAATTCTTCCATACCGCCATCTGTTCAAAGAATTATTTACAAAAAAAAAAAAAAAAAAAAGATTTGATACATAAACCTATATATAGACAGACCTGCTCAATCACATTCAAAGGATCACTATATAGCAAACTGTCAAACAATTATTACTATTAATCAATATTCAAAATGTACCACCAGTATCTGCCACTTTAATGATATTCGAATTGTTTTCGTATTCCAGAATCACCCTGAAATCACAACTCCTAAAAATAAAACAAAAAAAAAAAATATCTCCGTGGATTTTTTTTTTCCGTTATATATTTTCAAAGATTATCAAAATAATTAATTAGTTAACCTTTCAGGTAACGTCAAAAACGTTAACACTATCTACAAGAGCTATAATGAAAACAAAATGCTAATGCGTGAAAAAAATAAAAAAGTGTAATACAATATTACAATGTACGACAAGCAGTATTACACTTCATATGCACATAAAAATTTAGAATTTCATGCAAAAATTTCAAATGAATTCCAAATTCGAACATGACTTTAGAGAGTTTAAATATATAACACATAATCAATAAAGTTCAAAAGTATCCAAATTGCCATTCGAAGTTGAACACCTATGTAAATAAGCGAACGAAATGAATTAAACTGACCAATGGTTACAGCTTGTTGATTTCAATATAACATCATAAGCAGATAAAATATCTTTTTGATGTGTTAGCACATTTAGCGTCATACCGCTGACTAATGAATGCTTAAGTCACACAGCACACATTACTTTATTATCTGAAAAAAAAGAAAAAAATACCCAATCCAATTACTGAGTAAAACTACTTCCTTATCATAATGTATCACATTAATTACTATTAAATTAATTACTACTATCTTATCTCAGAGTTGACAAAATTACCGTTATAAAATTAATGTAATCGCATAAAAGTATCACTTCAAAATAATACTCTTAACTGTAGCGCCAATATCGCAATTTAAGAAAGCGTAAATGAGCATGATACCACTCGTATTAATGCATTAATCGTGTCACATATTAAACCAGTTTGTGAAAATAAGGATGTTACACGTCATGCGACACTTCGTTAAATCCTAGCTAGAAAATGTATGTATGATAGGACCTAAAAAGAGAATGAGTGGAATTAAAGAGAGTGACGTGACTGAACAGAATCAATCATTGTGAGAATATTCTCTTATGCAGTGCTTAAAATTTAGTAACGTATAATCAGTCTGTGATAATAATAATTTGATATACATAAAATAGGCGATGATTCATACTTAACAGAGAGATTGAACAAAGCTAATCTGTAGGATTTGAGATATTTCTATGACTAAAAAAAAATAAATCTTTTTACCTAGAGTCATGAGACTGCATGATAGTTAATAAATATCACTTTATGTAGAATTGTTATATTTTTTAATTATCAGTATTACTGTATTCTTTTATAAAAAGTATCCTTTCCTTTATCAAATTTTGCACTCCGAAACCTGTAATAGATACCTTAAAAAGTTTTCGTTAAAAAAAGGAAAAAAAAAATTAAGATCTGTTATAAGTTTGCATAACTTTGTATGATATCTATGAAATCTTTCTAATTTTAACTGCAGTATGACATTGAAAAGGTCAGCAATTACTACCTGTGTGATATGTTAGCCGCTATATTATGTAACGAAGCGAAATCACCAATTTACAAACAGTATAAATTAAAATGTATCATGTAATGTACTCACTCATAATAAACATAATGCACCCAATTCAAAAGAAAAAAAAAAAAAAAAACCTATTACATATCAGCTGTGCGGCTGTATTTCCAAAAAAAAGAAAAAAAAAGTATACAAAAACAAACAATGTTTAAATTTCAAGGTCATATCACAGCATATAGAAAAAGCGATAGAGAAAGTAAAAGAAAACAGCTGGATATGTCTCTATTCGGACATTTTCACAAATGTGTCGTCATAAGTAGACTTAACAATAATCATAAATCTCACCAAATAAATGATTTGATATATTCAATCTAAGAGGTAAACGAGTAGGAGCCAGTAATGTCACAACTTTTTAAAAGATGTGAAAAATGCAAACAAAAGAATATCATTAAATATCTCAAACTACATTTGTAGGAAACTTCATGCATGTACTAATTCCCTTAAGAGAAATACAATAACAATAACAGGACAGATTATGGACCTATTCTGGTCTAGGTGGTTGTTCACCCCAATTGTAACCTCCAGGTCGTTCATCTATATCAACGGGTTCAACAGGAACTGGATCTAGTAGCCATTTTAATATGTTAGGTGTTTGGAGAACACGAAAACCGTTCTGTTGCAACGGAAACACATCTTCCAGAAAGAAATAGAAATGACCACATGCTATTCCTGAAAATATGAAAATATCCGACCAGTAAAATAACGACGAAGTTTACTATCATAAATTGACTGAATTGAGTAAATGTAGTAAAACAAGCATAAGGTTATATCAGTCCTTTAGTCATAAGACCGCTAAAAATCCGTTTCAAAGATGACTGGTAAGACCTGGTGAGTGATCAAAACGATTATTTTATATTAAAATTTTTGGTCTAATTTGTATATGATGAACAATTCATTTTGTGGTAAAGAAATTGGTAAAGAAACAAATGAGCTGATATTCCAAAGTGATCATAAAACTGATTGAAGTTAAGAATCAAAAACAAAACACTAAAATTTGCAGGCAATTTCCCAAAAGAATTTTTAAATTTAACGACAAAATGTACCAAATTATTTGAATTTAACTCACCCATGAAATCAACGATAGCATTGTTACCGAGAAGCAGTGAGAATAAAAGCAGAACCCATGGCAAATAGGGAGCATTAAAGCTGAGAACACCGAAAAAATTCATGCGTACGTATGGATTCCGTCTACTCCAGACATAAACAAGCATAATGGTAAAAGCTTGTCCGAGAAATACCATATGTACAAAAGTACCGCAAATAATCTAAAACATAATAAACAGATTCGGATTCATAAAAAAATAAATACTTAAAATATGTACTTAAAAGAAGAGATAGGAAACACTGTTCTGTCTTTCCTAACACGAATGCCTAGATTAATAAGATCCGAACTAGTAAGAAAATGATTTTCAGAACGTAGTACTTCCTAAGTAACTGGCTATTCTAAACTTTTAAGACAAACCATTAAAACAGTCAATTTCAAACTGACTAAATGGGCAAAGACGGCATGGAAAACTGCACTTACTTATAATAGATAATTCTATAAGAAACAATACCAATTGATTACTAAATGATGTCAATTACCTGAGCTAAACATCCACTACAAATAATACACTCTGAAATTTCACTCAAACATTTGTACTATTTGAAAGTTCCCAAACTATGGTAATGCGAGATACAGAAAACCATAAAAATCTTCATGAATCTAACCAGAAGAATAATATGTTCTTACTTGTTTAATATATTTAAAAACAAAATATATTAAAAACATGCTATACTTTCAGGAGATATTGTAATAAAAATAGACCCAAGCTTAAAGAGGCAAATGTATAAAATGTATTACCATAAAAGTTGCGCCAAAGATGAACATAAAGGCAAAGTCAGCACGTCGTCCACGAAATGAACCTTCTTCGAGCATCATACAATATCGATATGTAAAAATCATATTGAACAAGAAACTAAACCCAAACGAACCAAAAAAACAAAACGATGTCAACAATCGCCAAAACTGGAAGAAATTTTATAAGCGAAAAAAGTTGAAAATTCAGTCAAATACTTTACTAAGTTTAGACATTAGATACAATGGCAAGTAATAATCTGTCAATGAATTCACACTTACTGGTCGATAACAAATAATTTCTGCTCCTTTTTTAACCGTACTATTAAAAACAAAGAGTACTTAAGAAACTTGTGGATATAAGTAAATCATATTACATTATTACTCACCTGATAATCGTAAATAATTAAATTCCAATTAAAATATAAGTGAAATGGCGTAACGAAATCCAACTGCTGAAAAAAAAAAAAAAAAAAGCAACTATAATTTACTGCATAGCCGTACAGTATAAGAGATAAACTTTGAGTTAAGCTATTGAAATTTTGTAATGTCTTTTTTTGCAGTTAAAGTCAAAAGTGATATGTATGATTAAAAAATGCAACATTACAAGTTAAAGCGAAAGAAAACCATAAAAGAAAGAATAGAGAATATCACAATATAATTAGAATTATTGACAAGAAGTAATATGTCAATTTAGTAATAAATGAACCAACTTAAAGTGACAAAATTTGAATGGATTTTAACATGAGTAAGATAAATTGTCAGATAATGTTTCGGCTAATAAAAGCTGCAATCAGTAAACCGTACACTTACCACTGCAAGTGTAGTTAAGACACATGAGGTCGTATAAATCCTCGTTACAGGAGGCATATCCTCGTATGCTTGCAGAAGTGCCTGCATCTTTCCAGCAATCTATATCGGTAATGTGGATTAGATTACTAGATATAAAGGGAGCTGATAAATGCCTTAGAAAGAATGTAACAGAATACTATCTGGAATCTGAATCCCCTACATAATGCAAAACTTTCTATTTTCGGCAATTTTTATTCAGTTAACAGGTGACACAAGACATCAATATGAATAGCACAGATAAAGAATTTATTGCAATCAACTTCACAGCATTTAACAAAAAAAAAAAAAATCTCATTCTAACAAATACTCTCTATTTTAGCTAGAATTTCATATGCATTGAGAAGCAAACTCATCATGTTCCTATTTTGGCTTTTTAAACTTTCAAAATTGAGAATATCTCACTTCAAAAAATGTTACTTATCAAACCTTCCCAGTCATTCAGTGCAGGGTATTGTCCGTGTGACTCAAATAAACCGAAGTAACAAAAATAACTATAACAGAAAAAAAGAAATCAGGGCGTAAGTATCGATGACTTAGGCTTCAACAGCTCACTTAGCAGTCGATTAACTCGGTCGATCATTTTTGATGAATCTTTCAACAATCCGCAAGTTATCAATGCATTGTCATAGATCTGCAAATCGGAAAAACATGTTTTTATTTTATTCTGGAAATTTGGAAAAATCTCTATCAAACTTAATATTTACAGATTATAAATCACTACAAAATAAAAATTTAGAATATGAGACATAAGATATTCCTTGCATCATGTTTCCTACTGGCACCGCAGCTGCGTACTACATGGTAAGCATCTAATTCCGGTAAGAAAGATATTTGTTGCAGAATATTTTTTCCGAAGAAATTATGAGATGGCTTTGCTGATAACTTGGAAGTTATGCATCTAGACAAGATTGAACGGGTACTAGACATCCGTAGCTGACGGAGATACATAATAGCAAAAAATCAAGCACGTAATTGCTGCCAAATTGCAAAATTCAAAACTAGTTTATTACCAACAGCATCACACTTACGTCTTTAAAATATTTCAATTTCAAAAAATTCAAAAGCAATTTTTACTGCCAATACAATAAAAAAAAAAAACACATTAGTACCTGTTCAGCGACAAGACCAGCTAATGCCGGTTCTGATTTATGTAGCTTGATTAGTGCACTGATAATTGGATGATTTAAGTTAATATGAAGAGTTGGCTTCAAGAAAGCCAAATGCTCAATATCTTTCACCTGTCCAACACGAAGAAAATGACGAGCAGCACCCATTTCTGCACCAATTGTGATCATACATGGATGTTCACTTGTTATATTCGAGCTCTGCAATGCAGGAATAAAAATTTTGTTCGTTATATTAAAAAAGAAACTTTTCTTCTCTAAATACTTTCCGATCTATTTGGATAATAAAAAAAAAAAAAAAATAATAAATAAAATAAGGTAAACTTTTTGACTATCATAATGATAGTCACCATAAGTTTAACAATGAAATTTTATTTGAGTTCTTATTTGACACTTCAAATTATAACTAATCTAGTCATAGTTTTATTATATTGCTACGGCGAGATTAACTACTACATTCAGTCCAGCATTCATTCTAGTAGAGAAGTGGTAACCAATTATGCCTACATACTAGTCACAAGAAAGTAATTTAGTACAATCATTCAATTTAATCCATATTTATTCCACCGACAAATTTATTAACGATTTGAAACATGGATACCTTTATTTCATCGACTTTCATGCTTCCCAAAGTAGTTTTTAACCATTCAAGCAATTCTTTCTTGTCAGCATCGCGTATTGTTATTGCTACAAAAAAATTTCAATTAATTTGTAGAGCTTTTGATTACCATTAATCACCATAATTCAGTTCTTATTTGACGCTTCAAATTATGAATAACAAAAAACATCGGCATACTTAATTGGAAAAAGAAACTGTTTCAGGAATAAATTGAAATTTCATTACAAACTTAAAATTTATTGAAGAAAATATAGAGTGAATTTTACTGATTAGTAATACAAAGTACATAGAACTAAGCAAACCATTAAAGGATAAAGAAACATTTTGGTCCTCAATTTTTTGAAATACAGTTAAAATTATATTATTTACTTGCAGTCTGAGTGTCACCATCGGTTTCGGCACGAGTCCAATTTTCCGCTGACTTAACTGATTTCATACGGAACTGCTGCATAGCCAATAAACAAACTTCATCGGCAGCATCATATGCAAAAAGAACTTCCTTGTTTGCTGATTTGAACATTTCATAGTAGGGAGAATGTTCCGCAAGATGACGACTGATAAAAAAAGGTAATTATGACTGTATGGATTTCACTCCCTATGAACTTATGATAGTGAATTTATCTGAAAATCACTGGAAAATACCATTTCCTTCGCATATTCTAGCTTGCAACGAAATGTTTTTGTAGAAATCATCTCTTCAAATTTTCTGAATACTTCAAAAAAAAAAAAAAAAAAGACTGAATAAAGAAAAACCAGCGGCAAAACTAAAAAATTCACCTCGGAGCAAATAAGTAATAAATTTCATTCTGATCCTTTTGCATTCGGTCTACATATTCATCTAAGCTAGTTAAAGTTCCAGCTTTGAGAGCTGATGACTCAAACAACAACAGCGAACCAATCTGTTCCTAAAACTGCATTTAATTAACTCAAACTATTTGGAGACATATGAAATGAGCACTTTATGAGAGTTGACATAATTTCATTGTATTTTTTAGCAACGCATTTTTCTTTATAGAAAAACCCAAAATGTTTAGAAATTTAAAATACATAACATAAAGTAATTTAATCCTGAAAGTTTCCTTATGAAACAAGTTAATATTCCGCAGAAAGCAAGAATCCTATTCAAATGCAAAATTAACATTTCGACAAAACTAATTAATTTAATCTGTTTTTTTTTTTATAAGAAAAAATGTAATACCACGCCACAACTTTCAAAGGAAACCAAATCAAAAATACAATGGAGATAAACTGTAGTGTGTGTTAATTAAAATGGACTAACCTTAATGTTTTGGTCAGTTTCGGTACAAATACCCTCCTTAAAATATAAAGAATAACCACTGTAAAATTCCTTGTATTTTATTCGATCTTTTTTCATTTCACTTACAAAATATGACACCACTTTGTCGGTTAAAATTTGGCGCAACTTCCTGAATAATTTATAATTAACAATAATTTCAAAGGCTATTTTCAAATGTTATCTAAAGCAATATCACTTATTCAAATGAAACTGATAAAGTAAAGTACGTCGATAATAATATATTTCTCAAATTATTCCATCAGTTTAGCTGCATCTATTTGTCCCATAGTTATTCTCTGTTGAAAACAACAGAGAATTTCTAACAAGTTCACTATATAGATGCATTGTACATAGCATTTTTTTGGTTTTATATGTCAACTTCTGCAAAGGTCAGCAATTTTGAGAAATAAACAATAAAGGCTACATATAAATCTTTACATTGCTTTTTTTCTTTTCCATATTACTAAGACAATTATCTGCAAAATTTAGACATCGCGATAAATGAAAAAAAGATATTACACAAGAACAGCATCCATCTGCAACATTTCACGACTTAAATTCAATGGAATATCTTCCGAATCGACTACACCAACTAGAAAACGTAAATATCGCGGTAAAAGATCTTTGGCGTTTGACTGAAATGAAAAACATATGATAAATTGATAAAGCTTATTCAATTAGTAAATTTTTCCATTATTTCTTTTCAGAATAAAATAGTTTTTTTATTTACTGCTAAAATTGCTGAAAATTTTAAACTTTTTATATTGATTTTTTGGTAAATACATAACACAACTGCAGAGCATTGTCACTTGCAAATGCACATAAAAAATAAACTGCTTATTCAATCATAAGTAATCAAAAAGAAACCTTTATAAGGACTCTTCGTGCATAAAGAGACACTCCTGACTGATCGGCAGAATTGGCAAACTCAAGTTGCGACACATTGTGAGATGGAACATACAGCAAAGATCTGATGTTTATCGGAGCATCTGCCTACAACATGTATGTGCTTCGATTTTGAACCCAAAATTAACAATAAGAATTTTTCAAATTGCTGGAATTTCTGAACTAGCCATGTTGATTTGTTTGGTAGGTAATCGAAAAAAAGAAAAAAAAAAACCTTTATAGGGACCTTTGTGCATACAGCTTATAGTTAATTGTGCCATCAGTACCTATGGCCAATGGATTGGTGTTTTTATATCACCATAGTGACGAAGCAAACATTTAGCATACAGCATAATTACAAAAAAAAAAAACTTGTCTATCTAGATATGATTCAACCATTAATTAAATCTGACTAAATAAATTTAGTAACCTTATAATGAATAGTATATTGTGGTCGATCATTTACTAGATGAGGTAAATGTGTTTTGGCGAGTTGTCGAAAAAAGGTATCATGCATTTCCGAAGTTACTTCCTTCGGATTCATTGTCCAAATTGCGTCCACGGTATTCACCCGTTCTCCATTCACCGTGATCGGTAGAGTGATAAAATAGGAATATTTGCTGATTATCTCCACAACCTTATCTTTTTTTGCAAATTCCGCTGCATTATCCGGACGAAGGGTAACTTCAATACGTGAACCAACAGGTAACGAATCGATTTCTTCCACTGAATACGCATCACCTCTAGAAGATTTACTGTTATCTATTTTTAAATTCGTCAATATATGAAGAGAAGATTCATATTACGAAAGAATCAGCAAGATAACTCAAATTATATTTTATCCCAGAAAAGAAATGAGCTTTTGAATGCTCTGTAAGGAGCCGGTGCAAAATGGGTTATTCAAACATACCCATTCCACTTCCACAAATAACCTTTGTCGCTATCTTCTTTGCGTGTTTTCACTACAACATTAGTTGCAACCATGAATGCTGAGTAAAAACCGACGCCGAACTGTCCAATAATACTTTCAGTAGATGCACGGTTCAGCGAAGATTGCTCTTCCATGAATTTTTTTGAGCCTGAATAGAAAAAATATAGTGGAAAAGGATAGACTGCTCCATCTAATATAAATTAATTTAATTACAAGACAGCACCACTGAATAGAAAATGTGGCTTGGAAAGCTTAATTTGTGCTGATTTTACACTCCAATAATATCACCTTGTCTTCTACTCAAAATTACAAACAAAAAAAAAAAAAAAGGAATTTCTCAGTTCCTTTTCAAACTATGTCATTTACAACAAATATAAAGAACTGTTAGTTGAAAATTTGTATGTTTTTAACAAAATCCAAATTTTTCATGAGGTGTCAACGCCTTTGATACGTTTTCAGGGACTAAAAAAATTTTCCGAACCATATAACACCATAGAAAGATATTAATAGGAAGATAAAAAGGAAAGAAAGCAGGGCATCAAGTAAACAGAACAGCATTCGGAGGAAACAAAAGAACCCTAACGAAAATTGCACCTGATTTAGCTATGGTACCCAAGCAGTTCACTAAATCTTCCTTATCCATTCCAATCCCATTATCTTCGAAAATAATCAACCGTGCATCTTCATCCGTGGTTATTTTAATTTCATAAGCAATATTTGTATCTTTATTGGTTTCCAAATGTTTGCATCGCCTCTTCTCCAGAGCGTCGCTTGCATTTGATATTAATTCCCGAATAAAAACCTTGAAAATCGATATATATATATGAAATTTTGGTCGCATTGAAGAGAGGACAGATCCCAAAGACTATTCAATCCGAAATACAGAGCAAGAAGGTTCAACTATTTACAAAAATTACAAAAATACCGCTCACTCAAGGTTTTTTAATGACTCATTCAAACCTCTTGGTCCGAGTAGAGTGATTTTGCAACAATATCCAACAAATTCTTTGTTTCTGCCTGAAATTCAAAAGTTTCAGCTGCTGTCTGCTTAGCGATTGATCGAGTTGTGTGAAATAGATGACCCGTAGATGCAATACTGCATGATGGTGACACAAAATATGGACGACGATGCAAAGAACGAAGTAACACTATAACACCTCGTCTAGATGCCATTAACCTGAAAATTATGTCAAATCTACGTTTCGAAAAATAATCCATTAAATAAAACGGTATTGAACTTTCTACAATGGGAAAAACTCTTTCCAACTGAACCTCTCAGGTAATCTTGAACAATAGTGAAACGTGATGTAATTACATGCTTGATAAGATGTATCAGTTGTCTGGATAACAGTTACCAGATCATACTTCGGAGAGTATTTGTACATGATAGTAGTAATTGTAATTCTTATTACTTGATACAATACAATGTTTAACCGTTTTGACTGAAATTTTTAGGAATATCCTATTGGCAGTTTATTTTCTAAAATAACTTCGATGGACTTTATCCCAATCGACAGAATACAATCATCTAACAAAATTTTTCAACAAATTTTATTGATATAATACAAAAATTCCATACATGAAAATAAAAACAAAAACAAACAAGCTTTACACTATAACTTTACAAATCATTTACACGGCTTTTTTTTTAAAAACCTTTCCCAAATGTTTCACAATAACTCAGACGCGAAAGAACTAAATGCATAAGTGATCAGATGTAGAAAAACTTTTTGTCAGGAACAATAATAGATTAAATTGAAATTTTCGAATTAGATTTTGTGCGATTTTGTTCTCAGTTGTCATGTCATTGTTACTAAAATTTCTTAAGAACAATGAGCGTTAAAACATTGTGGTATTAAACTTTTTAGAAGCAAGAAATAAAATTTTGGCAGTTTAATGAAGAAATGGAACGAAATGTCTTCAAAATTGCAAAACAAACCACAAAAACAACCAAAACTTTTTTGAGGAATGTTCTCTGAAAGAATTTTAGTCAAAAATTCATCTTTTCCTTCAATGAGTATAAACAATATACGGAACAAGGGTATAATTTTTAAAGATAATTATTTAAGATTCCTAATATCTCACTGAGTTCTTTCAACAGCTCAATTGGGTAAAACACCAAGATAATATAAAAATAACAAAGCAATTACAGATTTTCCACACTGAACTACTACAACTACTGCTCAGCACATCTAAAATTTCATTGAATCCTATTAAAAATCTCTGGAATTCTTCCAGAAGATCCAACCTCGATATCGAAAAAAATATATTAAGTTGAGAGCAATGCGGCATATTCCACCCTGCTTTTTTTAAAAAAACAAAGTAACAAGAAAAAAAATATCAAAATAAGAAATGAAAACAGAAACAAGATGAGCAGAACGTGAAGAAAGCTCAAAGAATTCAAACTTCTACAAAGTAATGAAAAAGTAAAATTCAGGTTTGTTGCACCTTCCCTATTCTAAAAACTATTTTAAGCAAATAAAAATTGAAAACCAAAACAATAGAGAACATCAAAGTCTTTGCATTTCTTCTTTATGATTACAGGACTTAATTTTGAGAGTATTATTTTTGGATGATTTAGTCACATTCGTAGTACCAACAGAAATAACTGAACCATTATCATCATCAGACCTCACTCTACTATTACTATTACCACTACTACTACTACTGCTACTACTATCGATGGATCTGAGTGCATCTCCTGCAGACTGAGCAAGCTGTTGTGCGATACGAGTTATCTCGCTTTCCGCATTAATTGAATTGCTAACAACATTTGATCGAGAATTCATAGTTGAAGCAAACTGTTCAACAAAACGATAACATTCAGTACTATTCTCTTGTAACATCACTTCTATCGACTTATCCATTGACGGAGCACTGTGCAATTCTCTTAGAAGGCTGCTCTCCTTCAGTGGTGACGAAGGTATGCTGCTACGATCACAGTCTTCACTTGATTCGATAGTATTTACTGTCGGTGTTAAAATCTTCTGAACCACATTGCTCTCTTGAATGAAGTGTTCATTTTCGGAATTAACTGTATTGGAAACAGGAAGAACAAATTGTCCTGATGTTGAATGAGTATTTTCGGGAATAAATACAGACCCAGCTATCTGATATTGTACTGTTGTCATTTCTTGCGCAGGACACACCAGAATATTGGTGTCTTGCATGAAATTATTATTATTGTGCTCAACTCCACGAACATTACTGCCGGACGAAGGAACAAATTGCACTGACGATGTTGTTGTTGCTACTTTGTGAGCCAGAAATACAGGATTAACCAACTGGTATCTTCCATCCGTCACATGATGAACTTGTGTTGGATGCGATGAAACATTAGTTTCCTGCAGTAGGTATTCATTTCCTGACCTAATTCCATCGGAATTATCGTCAGACTTGAATCCACCAGAAATTCCCACATCAGACCAGATCCTACTAGTACCATCGCGAGATCTTGTTTTACCAGCAACACTATTTGATCCCGCTGTATCACTAGCAGAAAAAGCAAATTGATCAGACTGCGCTGTACCTGATCGTTCACTCTGAGACCCCAAAACAGGATCAGCCAACTGATAACCTGCATTTGCTATAGGATGAACTGATGGCGGATTCAATGCAACCGACTGTATGATCCCATTGTTCTGCAAAAAAAGGAAAGTAAAAAATATTTAGATAGATCACGCCGCTTTTTCACAATTTAATAATTTGTGCGAGTGTACCCTAGACTGCAGAACATTTACAATTAATAACAGGCAGTCTAAACAAAAATTCAGAACAAAAACTGAAACTAGTAAACATCAATCACCTCTCCAGTATTTCAAATAACTATTTGAATTGGAATTATATAAATTACAGAAAACTCACTTTGCCAGGAAAACGCTGATGAAATGGACGAGCACGTTTTTTCACCCTCAAACTTTCAAGCTGTTGCATAAAAGCACTATTCTCTGCTTCTACTATTTCATGTGCAGCAGCTTCAGTTGTTTCCATCATCTCAGCCGATGCAGTTGGACCGCCAGATGATTGCTCCGAAAAAGTATTTGCTGATTTACATCTTTTTCTAATCCTTTCTTGCCATTTTTGTTCTATAAATTCATTCGATTCTGTTATCCTTTGAGGGTCAGCAAGAGACTGCAAAAATATTAGTAAAACAATGTGACATTCATGTTTCTCACTTTATTTTTGCAATACTCTCAAACATTAGTAATTATGTAAATATAATTATCAAACTAAGAAATCCAGCAAAATGTTAGAATTCTTTTGAGAGAGGTGGATACACCTCAGTTCGGAAGAAGCACCTATTTCTGATTGGCAAAGAACAGTTTGCAATGTTAAACTTTACTATTTATTTTCAGTACATCATTTTGAGACATTACGTTAAAATTTTGTTTTCATAGTGAAAATCAAGGCTGACTACACGAAATGATGAAGAAATTTTAAATTAACTAGTTGAGAGTTATTATTTATTCACAAATCAGATCCAAAAATCAAAAGCAGTAGCCTACCTTACAAAGATTATCACCATAACCACGATCTAAAAGATGAAGAAAAATACGCCACGGCTCAGGATCGCCCATTCGCTTCATTCCCGTCGAATAAACAAGCTTGATTTCAGACTCTTTCCCACACTCAAATTGCAAGAATCATATTTAATCGTCACAAAGTTTATGAATAAGTAACTAAAAGGAAAATTGCTCATTATTCCTGTGAATCATTTAGCGTTAAGTAGAAGCAATTGGTTGAATTTTCTTAAAAAATGAAACGAATTAATAACTACATACCAAATAATATAATTCAGTCACAGTAGCTTTGCAAACGTTTTTTTCAGTAAGTCCACCACGCAGTTTGTTCCCGTTGATTGTAAACGGTCCATCATCATCATCATCTTCTGTCGCATTTGGCATGTCTACATCTGCAGATGTTTCTTCGCCAACATTTGCATTCCTACGTTTAGACAATTCATTGCATTGCTCAATGGTCCCTGTTCGTTGAAGTTCTTTTATTAACCTAAAAATATATCTAACCTTGGCATAAAAAAATATTAGTGGAAATATAAGCAATAAAGATTGTTCTAAGAAAAAATAACTTAAAACTGAAATTTTAAAATAAAGCTAAGCTTATTCCCCACTGAAAAAATTTGAGTACTATATATATTCAACCTATCATCCAAAGAAAGATGAAGTTATAAATCTGTCTTAGAATAATAAAAGTCACGAATGAAACTAAAAGGAGTCTACTTTCCAAATGCAATTATTAATTGGTCTGAGACTAAATTTAGGGAAATTTTTTCTTCCAATCATGTTCTTTATGCTCTAATTTATATAGTACGAATATAAAAGGATTTACCTATTTATTGAAAATATCGTTGGCGTAGCCTCATACAGATTCACAATTATCTTCCCCACACGGGTTGTCTTATCCGGATATAATACCACCTTCACTTGCTCTTCTTCCTTTGACATGTTTCCAAGCTAAATAAATTTTATCACAATGTGTCTAAAGAAAATATGAAGAAAGCACATTTCTCGAATTTTATAAGAAATAATTGTAAGTCAAACATCAAGTCACCGTGAACTCATGGCAGGAAGTGGTGCATTTCACAATTATTTTCAAAAGTAATTGAAATGTGAAAAAAAAAAAAAAATGTAAATAATTTGAAAGTGGATGTTACCAATTTTTGCATCCTCAAATTCCATTTTATCTTAAGAAATGAGAAAATACGACTAAGCTGATCGCCAATAGCAACCCTGATCCTAATCAAAGGATTTTGTCCACGTTGTTCCACAAAATAACGATCAGCTTCAGTTCTTGGTGTGAGGCATATAAAAATATGCGATGGTAATGGTGATGAACTGCAGCCTGGAAAGAGATAAGATACATCTACACTAAAAATAATAAACAATGGAGCAGTACACATTTTCAAAAACAATAAAATAAAAGTCGGCTGAAAAGCTAAAACTCAATTTCAGGTTCAGAGAAATTCCACTAAGAGATTTGACTTTCCGACTGGCTTCCATTTAAATAATATCAATGATCATAAAAAAACTTCGACCTACTTGGAAAAAATTTTTGCAGAGAAGGACAAACTGGTGTGCGTACCAACACTAGTTGTTTTTTCTTTCTTTTCTTCTCATACGTTGATCTATAACGAAGCAATTTAACCAACAAAATTCTTCATAGTGTTAGGTAATTTATAATGTTATATTTTGTTTAACAAATTACAATAATTTTTTTTTTTTTAATAGAAAGAAATTTAATAATAATCTCAAAATGAATAATGAATAATGCAGCAAAAGTAGCCAAAGCAGTATTTCAACTCCATCTTTTTAGAAAGAGTTGTAAGGGCTACATGGTTTATACACATATGAAATTATTAGAGCTCAACACAGTATATGAGGGAGAATGGACCATTAATAGAGACAAGACTTGAAAGTTCGGATTTCAACCATTAGAAATCTGAAAATTAAAATAAAGTACACCAACCCTTCCATGACAAGCTGTTGAAATTTGACTTGATCAAACTTGCCACAAACTCTTCTTTTCCATTCAAATCCATTAATCAAAATAAACAACTCCTTAACATCTCGTGGTATGCCTGCCATCAAAGCTGAAGTTTCCAAAATATTAAAGATGTGGAAGGGATCTCTTATTATTTGCTGACTTCTCGGCATTTTGGAAGATGTCAATATAGCTATACCAGTATTCTTTTTCATAGTATTTGACACCGAACACAATAAACCTGCTGAGAATTTCGCAGTGGTATAATCTAATTTGTGAAAATGCAAGAGAAATTTAAATTAAGAAAAAACCAACTTTCATCAATGCGTGTTGAAGATCTCAGCAATTTGAGCGAATTGAAATAGTAATTACGGACTTGATCTTTGTCTTTGTTTAACTTCCTTCGTGCCATCAATTTTGCCATTTGTTCGAAATCTTTTCCGTACTACAAATTTGAAACATCTACCATAAATATTATCCAACGTTGGTCACTGCTTCAGAAGTTGTTGTGTTCTGGCAGGGCCACGACATTTTAGTATCGGAAATGGATTCTTTTGATTCATGAGTACCTTTCTGAGATAGCCATGAATCAAAAAATAATACCAAATAGTAGATCTTTCTTACCCAAATAAAGTAAAAAAATCATATTGTTCAAATATTATTATTTAAACATAAAAAATTTATAAAATCCATCCGAAGTGTTTCCACACGATAACAGACCGCAACGGTTAAGATTGTGTAACACGATGAAAAGTATTAATGTGTTCCAAAAATTTTAAGGCAGATTGGTAAAATATTGCTCCCTGTTAAGCGTTTCAAATCATTAAACCTTCTAGATGGAAAAGCTTTATATCTTGAGATCGATTAAGCTCATATGCATTGGCAAAAAGCGCTTTGTGCTGAAAGACCCCGACAATTTTTGAAACCCTAAATAATTCAAACAGATTATAGATGAAAACTTCTTCTCATAAAACTACTAACCATTTTGATACCTTCGAAAAATGCGTTAATTTCTGAGCTGTTCCACTGCTCCCATCGACGGGGTACTTTGTTAATAGCACTAATGGTAGGTGTAGTTACGTTCGTTTCTGGATTGGTCGAACAAACTGTATGTTGTTGTGAAACATTAGAAGTAGAAGTAGTAGAAGAGTGAATATTTATGGACGCTGTTTCAGCATTACTAGTAGATATTCTTGGAAGAGTGGATGAGGAAGTAGTCATGATAGACGCAGCAACTGCATCTCGAACAGCTATTAGAGTATCCCTTATGGTTGCTGTAACAGTGGTTGTTGAAGTTTGTGGATTTATTGAAAATGGTCGATAGATGATCCGTCGCCGAGAAACTGCTGTAGCAGAAGTGCTAACTCCTGGATCTGATCTAATTTCCTCATCCACTTTCGATCCTGTCTGTGCCGACATCCAGAAACCCGTAATGATGAACTTTCTTCGGTGTTTAACTGTTACTTATATTCGCTTCTTCTTTTGATAAATTGAGTAAAATATTTCGTCAGTGAAGCTACAAATACTTTTAAAGCACATCTTCAAATGATCAATTTACCAGTGAAAAATAGAATAGGAAAGTACGTGGAGCTATACGTATGCACTTATTTGTTAAATTCTAACATTATTGATACAATTAACTAGTTCAAATATGTGCTGGATTTATCAATGAAAAAATGACTCAAGATATTGTTGTTGCATAAAACACAGATTAAATTATCTAGCAAATGCTTTTAGTAACAAAGACGAGTTACTGTATTTGTTATAATTATAGTTATATCAAATTTAACAAATTCAAAAAATTCTCCAACAAACTTACGGATACAAAACATTGAAGAGAAAATTAATGCTTATGTATGACCAATAAATGCATACAAAACTGATGAAAATTTGTTCAAATGCAATTGAAGATTTAATGAATAAACAATAACAATATCATAAATTGGTGAAATTTCTTGTCATATTACTATTCTAACTTTCTATCCTATTATCCACATCTGTTATTTGAATATGAACAAAGATTTAAATGATTAATAAAACGTTATCATTAAAGACCAAACAAAAACTCGGTTAAATTAATTATTCAAACTTTTTTAATCTAAAAGATAATCCTATCATCTGAATAAGTGATTAGTTTCATCCGAATAGTGATTAGAGTTTCCTTTCCCAATACATCCATAAAGCATAAAATTATGCAGAATATTTGTATACTCTTTTAATAGGTAAAAGATCATAAAAATACTATAACAGTTAATTTACACACTGATATACTTAATGAAATTGTAATATTAAAATATTTAAGTCTCAATCTCCCTTTTCCAATTCTACTTTCCAACGATTTGGATCACTAACATTACACATTTTTTTTTTTATTTCTTTTAACTACCTATTTTTTTTGATACAAACAAAATATTTAATAAGAAGACAAGCAGTTGAAACAATGACGACTCGAGTAGTTTTAACTTTACAGTTTGATCCATTTATCAATTTTTAGCTGAGTGAAGTTATTCCTTTGAACATGCATTCCCAGTCAGGATGGAACAGTGATAATGATAGAAAAGAGATGTAATAAAAATCTATTATTTTAATAAACTAGAATGTTGAGTACTATTCAGAGAAAAGCACTTCAATATAATAAGAATTGAACACAGACAGAATTATACCTCAACCTCAAAATACATATTACATATATTTTTAAGTTTAGCACTGAAATCAATTATTGACGAGAAATGCTCACTAACTTAATGAATTATGTCGTAGTATTAAGGTACAATTCCATAACAATAAATCAGTCTTTAAATCATTTCTTTCAACAATATTGCTGATGATTTGTACAATCTAATCTTAACTACTCTACTGTTAAAGTTGAACTTTTAAAAATATATCTCAATATGCTTCAGATTTAAGCAGCAACTATATTATCACATTTTGATTACAAGTTTCGTTCCAATTTGTGAAAGATATAAACGCAGGGTTAGCACCAAATAAAGCATTTTGGAAAACTTAATACAAGAAAACTTAAAGAGAGAAGCTACTTAACAAATAATAGTCCATAAGATTAAAGTTAAAACAAATTGACACATAAAAAAAATAAAGATGTAAAAAGTTCTCGAAATATCAAGTACTGTTGAGCAATACAAAACAATTTAATTCATTGAATTAAATCTCGAAATTCTCTAAAATCAAAATGAGCAAATTTGTTAGGATTTTCATAAATGTTCAATTTGATTGTCTATTCTTCTTACCAAAAATGTCCAAATTACCCAATGCTTACCCTTGCCCATTCTTATTACCCAGAATACCCTAACTTCACAACCACTCAATCACGCATCGCAACCGTCATTAAAAGCTTCACAAACCAAATTTCACAGACCATCGGACCGCAATACACATTAAGTGATTGTTGGCTTAGGGTTCTGCTCAGGTTGGTATCATTGGGTGATATTTTCGAGAAAATAGTGATTGGGAAAAAGTTATGGGAACCCGAGGATTCCTAAATAGCGCAGGGAACTCGAGAATTTCCAAATAGTTGAGAAATTTGTCATACCATAACATACCATTGTTGTAAAGACTAAAATACAATGTAATACTAGCAATTAATCTTCTAAGGAATTGATAAGAATCATGAATTAGTTTTAGGTGGTCACATAAAGAACTGAATTATAGCAAATTTTGTATATTTCAAGAAAATATTTTATGCAAACTATTTCTATTTTTATTGATTAATTGTGTTTTTTTTTAGTTTAATTTTTCTTAGTTTAGTTTAATCGTTTTAGGCAAAATCATAATTGTAATATTTGTGGATAATGTTGAAGATGATTGAGTGGTATTTTCGGAAGCTTAAAATAGTTTGAGAAATAATTTCGCAAGAGATAGTTTGGAGAGATTTGATAGTTGTTGTTATAATGAGAATACTTTAGCTATTATACTTTTTGATCAAGTTTGTAAAGCATTTTTTTTTTTTTTTTTTTGAGGGACATGCGCAGAGGATTTGCATATTCCAAGCCTTCCGATTTCGAACCAACCATTCGTTTTCCAACTGCCTCAGGATTTATGGGTGCTGTACCTCCACCAGCTCAGTTGACAATTCCAAACGCTGCTGCTGTTGCGAGTGATGCTATGACCAAAGATCTTGAACGCAAGAAGGAAGAACAGGTATATTGTTGAAGTATTTCAATTTTTATTATTTAAGTTACATTAAAATATTCGAGATTTTCGTAAAATTACTTTCAATTTATTAGGTAGTTAGGTTTCCATTGAGCATTTTGATTTGTATTTTTGTTGTTAGTACGATGCTTTGATGTCGAACGGTGGGAAATCCACAACTGGCAAGCCTGAACCGCGTAAGAAGAAAATCTACGATGACGAGTAAGTTGGCACTAAGCAAATTGATGGTGCAGCGTTTTTTATTTAGAAAAAAAAAAAAAAAAAAAAAAAAACAAACTCAAATAATATGTGGTCACTTTGAAGCATTTCGGTCTAGATATAACCTTGATTGCGAATTTTTTTTTTTCGTCTTCGCGTCTATACGACTTTGTGTTATTCTTATCTACTCATCGGCACTTTCTGCATAACCTTTGCCATCTCCAAATTAAATCGGTCAGCTCGCTGTATATGGGAACTTCAATTTAATTTTCATAATTCCGATGAGATTATGAAAAGAATTTAAATCTAAATTTGGTTGCAATCGCACTACACATCTAATAGTCAGATAGCAATACGTCCTGGCGTGAAGCTGATATATGCTTTCATCATTAAGTTTCCAGATTTATTGCTTCGTATACTTTAGGTATTTGGAGAAGGATTCAGATGATGAATTAGAATATCAGCCTGTGCCCGGAAGTCCTGGAGCAAATGCAATATCCGCTAGTGATGATGTTAACGATGACGAAGAGGAAGATCCATTAGATGCTTTTATGGCGGGAGTTGATAAACAGGTCTCATTCCCCAACTATTTTTACTTCCTTCATTTTGCTCTTAACAGAAAATTCTTTATCTTAAGTTAATTAATTATTTATTAATCCATCATACCGAAAAAGCAAAAGACGAAAGTTGTTTGACTTTCTGTTAGCTCTGGTTTTTAAAGCTTGTCTCTGCTTTTATTATGTTAACAGGTTTTTTCTTTTTTTTTTTTTTTTGAAGTCACAGTTATTAAATAATTTTGCAGTTCTCACAACATTCCAAGTTGACTTCAAAAACTGTACTTTGTTTTGTTGCAGGCAAAACAAGATAAGGCGGAAAGTGAAAGAAAGGATAAAGAACGGTGTGTAAAAATAGAGAAAGGTGCCACTTTAGAGGAAGATAAAGACAAAGGGCTTGGGCGAGCTGATATTGATGAGGAGGATATGCAAGAATCGTATTTCAAGTGAATAGTTGATTTTATTTTTGTTTTTTTTTATTTTTTATAGTTAGGATTTAATGAAAATCTGATTTTATGAAAATTTATCGAGGTCTTGACAGTCAAGGTTTTTACAACAATTAATTTGACAACTCAGAGGTTTAACTTATCTAGAAATGCGATAATCTGGATTTTCATTCGTTCATCTTTATTAATTTTATGGATCGATTACGAAAACGAGAAAATAATGTTCCAGATTTATGGAAGAACATAAAACAAATACACTTGAAGATGAAATATATGAATACGATGAAGATGGTAATATTATTTGGACATGGAAGAAAGTGATCGATCCGCTTCAATCGATTGACCATACAACAGTGGAATATGCGCCATTCAACAAAAATTTTTATCATGAACATGAACAAATAAAGTAAGGTTAATTCTTTAATTAGTGTTAGTAAATCTCATAATATGTAAAAACATTTTGTGTTTCAGTTTTTAATATTTCATCAAAATCCGAAAGTTCCAGATCGATGACATCGATAAAAGTTTTTGAATTACGAAACAGTCTGAACCTGAAAGTAGCTGGTTTTAATCCACCAAAGCCGGTCACTGCATTTGCACATTTTGGCTTCGATGAGGCACTCATGAATGTAATTCGGAAATCAGAATATGAACATCCCACTCCTATACAAGCTCAGGTGCATTTGTTGTTATGGCTGCAGAACATTATGATAGTAGAATTCTGCTTCTTTTTTCATTCTGAAAGTATCATGGCAGATTAATATAGCGATTTTATTGCAATTGCCATATTTGTAGTTAAACACAGTGTAGATGGTAAAGAAATTATTTTGCAGTGTGGCAGAAATCACAGATTGATTCTCTTTCTCTGTTGATCTTGATGCACTGCTAAAAAATTTATTTTCCATTCCTTCTTTTTGGATTGGTAAACAAATAAGGATATAGTTAAAGGGCACTTAATTTGTTTAGTAATTAAATTAAAATACAAACATTTCAGTCTATACCGGCAGCATTAAGTGGACGGGACGTTTTGGGAATTGCCAAGACAGGTAGTGGC